GCTGAAGTTCCTCGGGAAGAATTTTTACGGGAATTATCAAACGAACAGAGACTTAATACATCTTATAATGTTTACATAAGCAAAATATTTCAGAGGGAATTTGACCCCTGAAGAATGCCAATGGCAGGGCTTTTATGGAAACGTAGGAGATTAATAATATTTCATTTTTCCTTTCTGTTTTTACAAAAGAGGATGTTACTAATATTTTTGTTTTTGAGTATTTCATGGGAATTATTTTAAACGATTTGAATTATATAGAAATTAATCCTTAATTGTGAAATGAAAGATTTACAAATTAGAAATAGATAAGGCATCAAGACCAGACAACATTTTTCCTGACATTTTAAATTAGGATAGAAATAATAACACACTTACTTACTTACTTGGGGTGTAACTCATGTTCTGGACAATGACTATTTGCAAGTTCCAATATTTGTTGCTGATGTTAAGCAAGTGCTAAAGAACAGGTGTAGTTCTCATCCTGCTTCAGATATAATCACTTACTGCCATTTCAGATGCTCCTTTACGGTTCCTTCGTCTCCTTGCTTTGTTTTATAATTTTTCTTTCTTCTGTTTTTTTTCGAGTCCTGTAAGTTCTCTGTTATCCTTCTTTTCCTGTAACCTGGTAAATTTGCATATGATGTGGGTTATTACCGTCCTATCAGTCTTACTAGTGATTTTAGTAAAAGTTTTGAGCATATCTTGGTTTCAGATTCCACATATTTATTGAAGGTCACTGCCTGTTGTCGAGTGTTCAAGCTGGATTTCGTCCACATCTCTCTAACATGAATCAACTTCTGAAATTGTCTGACTCCATTACCAGTCATTTTAGCTCTAGTAAGTCCTCCTGCATGTTGCTATTTTATTTCGATTATGCATTTGACTCGGTGTGGCGTCATGGTTTACTCTACAAGTTGCATTTAATCTAGTTCCCAGTTACTAACATTCGTCTTATCTCCCTTTTCCTATTTGAACAGCAGGCTCTTATCTATATTCATAGGATTATTTTTTGTTCCTTTGCTCTCTTTGCTGGTGTTCCCCAAGACTTAGTGCTCTTCCCACTCTTGTACATTCTCTATGTTGCTAATATGCTTCTACCTAAGTTTCCTGTTCAGTTGTACTAATATGCTGATAATACTGCTTTGGTTGCCCACTGTAAGACTATGACTACCCCGAATAAGTTTCTACAGTCTGCTGTCAATTCATTTTTAGATTGGTGTCGTCACTGGGATCTCACCCTCAATACACCCAAAACACGTGTTATTCTTTATGGCCCGACACATTGAAAGTTCCGCCCGTGCTGCGACCTGTCATTATTTAATGTCTGAATTGACAATATCTCCGTCCAGCTTGCTGCCTCGGTGATATATCTTGGTGTCATATTTGATAAGCATCTGTCATGAAAGTCATACATTTTTGCCCTCTCTAACAACGTTTCTTGCCATCTCAATCTGCTTCTGTTTTTAACAGAGACTTATTGGGGTTAAATCCATCTCTTTTACTGTACATGTACAAGAGTATCATTCAACCCTATCTTATGTACGATTATTCTGCTTATATTTCTGCTTCTCCAGCTTTTTATTCTCGTCTCCAGGTTTTCTAATGTCATGTCCCTATTTGATTTCAATATTAAATTGCTTAGTCTCAACCGGGAGTTCTACGACTCTATCAGTTTTCCACATGTCGTGTTTCACCTGCGTCAGCTTCATACTTGTTAAGTTACCAAGTGTTTTCTTTCTAGAAATGTGGTTTTCCCTGCTTTCCTTACTACCGTCGAACGTTCCCCACGGAAGATTTTAGCACCTGCTATGTTATGTCACTTCTCCCTGATGATCCCAATCATGACGATGTCCTTATCTCTCATATATCCAGTGACCTAATGCCCATGGAATTTATTGGACTTTGAACAGTACAACACCAGCATCAACAACAACACTAAAAAAACAACTTGGATTATTAAATAAATATCTTTCTATCGTCGCACATAGCTTGTCTCAATATACCTGAACTCCCTGTTTATTTCTTCTCTAATTTTTTCCTTCTTAATTGAGAACTCTGTTTGACCTCGCACTTTTATGTTTTGGTTCGTTTCTTATTTGTTATCGTTTCCGTCACTTGGTCGAAGAGATGGTATCACCCTCTGATGGTGATAAAAAAACTTGGGTTTAACGTGTTTTTTGGATTATGGAAGTAGCGTAGACTTGGTATATATAACATTTTAGAAAACTTTTGATAAGACACCACTCAGAAGAATAAGTAATAAAATCACACTGATGTAGGTTGGGAAAAGGGTAATTATTTGGATCGTAACGAGGCTGGATGAGAGAAAGTAAAAATTTCTTATTAATGGAGTTGAGTTAAACTGCCTTTATCATTAATGGCTTACTTAAATGGTAGTATTTGGGCTATTGTTTCTTCTCATTTACATAAATGATGTTGATGGGGACATAGTTAGTAAAGTTCGCTGTTGGCGTTAAACACTTGCACGTTTTCAGCTACATTGAGGATAATGACATATTACTGAATGAGTTGTGTCAATTGGTTAGTTGAACAAATGTTTGGCAAATGACCTTTAATTTTAGTAAGTGCAATATAATGCATTTGGGTTTTCATGCTTTAGTGATATATACCCTTTCATAACAAATGGTATGCTATGAGATATGTTCAGCAGGGCTATACTAAGTACAGTACAGTCACTGAGCGCCGACTTGTTGGGGGCAAGAGTTTGCATCCTTGAATACAAGGATAGATTAGATTTTTTAGGAAGGATGCAGGATTTGTATTTCGCACAGGGCACCATCAACGATCCATACAGTTTTTATAAATTTTCATGCAGATTTTCTGCATGTTGTGAGGGACTTGTATACAAACCGAAAGGTATAAATGTCATAAAATTATACTAATCCTTTTACTTTGAAAAAGGTTACATACTACACTACCTAGTCCTTTGGGGTGGGAAAACTCATTTCAAGGGGTCATACAAATTATTCTGCAAAATTAATATGAATTTGGGTTCACTCCTTTGTATGTAGCATTTTAAACATTTGTAGGCTTAAG